CCCCCCCCAGCCGAATCGAACTCGGAGGATGCTTGCCAGTATCGGCAGAAAGCGCTCTTTCCAATACACTGTTCCTCGATCGGGGACGACGCCCGTCTCGGGGCGGCCGGGAAGTTTACGCCCCTACGGTGGCAGGTGGGGGTATGAATTTCCCAGCCGCCCTGGGACAGGTGTCCCCGATCGAGGACAAGAGCACGTTATACCGTTCGTCGCCCGCTCTTCATCGATCGGCGATAGCACCCGATAGAGAAACCGCACGTTTCTGGGCGGGGCGGGCTATATCGGGCCCCTATCAGCGATCAACGGGCGATTGGGGGTGGATGCATCCCCCCTGAGCCTTTTCCCCCCCACTGTTACCCCCCAACTTTCGGATCATAACTTGGTCTCCGCCCCCGTTTGGGACGATCCGTGCACCCCTGGAACGCTCTCGGCGAGGCGCAGCCGCTGAAGAGCACCCCGAGGCTGGAAGGCCGCCTGGAACCGACGAAAACGTCCAAAAACCTGCAGCCTCGAACCTCACCCCAAACAGGAGACCGCGGCTCTCCAATACGAACAGCGGTATCCCCGTCGACCTGGTGTCTTCATTTTTCCATACGGGTCACCCAGAGTCCCGACCCTTTCCCCGGGGCCAGCTTGTCGTCCTCCGTCGTTGTTTGACGGTCCTGGGGCCCGTTGAGAGCCCTCGGAAGCCGAAAACTGCGAGAGCTCCCATCTTGATTGTTGACCATACTTTCGAGGTCTGGATCGGTGTCTCTTCCCCTCGGCGGCAAGCCCAGGAGGAAGTGAGAGGCGGCAGGCCTTCTCAGCAAGCGGCCAGGCTTCCCGGAAGCTCTCGCGCCTTCTGCGAAGTCTTCCAAAGCCTTCTCCGAAGACAGAGACGGCTTCTCACAAGGCTCGAGGGCTTCCGAGAAGCCCCGCCGCCTTCTGCGAAGGCTTGCCCCTCTCGCTTCCCCTGAGCTCGCCGCCCTCCTGAGATCCGACGTCGCGCGAAACGTGCAGCATCCGGTGAGAGCATTGACTGAGGATCCGTTGGATAAGGAATCCAGGGTGGAACTCCAATCGTGGATTGGCCATGGATATCACCGCCGCCCTCATCAGATGAGGAACCCTCCAGGGTCTGAAGTCTCCAGGACACATTCCTTAACCAACGCCCCCACCGTAATGAAGAATCACGGCCGGAACCCTAGACCCTACCTTTCTGCACAATTTTTCGAGCTGTGAGGGTCCCAGGGCCCGAAACCAGGTGGAAATGCCAACGGCTTGAAAAATTTGAGAAACGCCAGGGTATCACTTCCCCCCAGTTTCGCCGCCGATCCTCCTCTGACGGAAGGGGGCCGCGGCCGCGGCTCTCCTTGCATGCGCCCGCTTCGGCGGCCGCCTGCTCCAGCAGCTGCCCGCCTGGCGCCCGCGGGAGCCCCGCGGTCTCCCTCAGCAGCTGCCGCGCCCGCCTCTGCGGCGGACGGCCGAGGCAGAAGAGGCCGGCGGCCGGCCAGCGGTGGCGGCGGCGGAGCCCAGCGCCAAGTCGAAGCGACTACGGCGGGTTCATCGCCATGACGTCGGCATGCTCTACCCCTGGGAGCCTCCCATGCCATCTTGTGAGCTCTTGCGAGTCGACGCTGACCGACGCTAATCGACCCTACTCGGCGCTAGACGACGCTAAATCAACGCTAAGTCGGCGCTCTCCCCATCGACTAACAGTCGCTAGCGCACGCTGACGCACTCTGAAGACGGAAGTGCGAGGACATCGATGTGCTACCGAAGACGTCAGGGATGGGCGCGCTGTGGCGTCGGAAGGTGACCAGCCCTGTGAGACGTGGTCGGCCTCCCGGTGGGCCGAGAGGTCCGCCCCCCCGCGAGGGCGGCAGCGGCGGAGCTCCGCACCGAGTCAAGGCGACTGCGGTCGGGAATTCTGCTCGGCGTGTCGCGGCGGCAGCCCCGGCGGCACGCCACGCCCTGCAAGCGGATCGCGTGTCGCTCTGCGCCGCGGGGCGGGAGGCTCGGAAAGGCGGGCCCGGAAGTGGGTAGCGTGTCGCGCCGAAGCGCGGTGGGCCCGAACAGGCGGCGCGACACGCGGAGCAGAAGTTCTCGGCCGCAGCTGCACGCAGCCTTCTGAGGGGCCGTGCTTTCAAGACGAAGTCAGGACGAGGATGAAGCGGGGTGGGGATGGGTCGAGAATCTCTGAGATCCAGCGGCTCTGGAGGAGGTCTCGGGCGCCGCGGCCTTCTGAGAGCGCTCTGGAACGCCCTGGAACGGACTTATCCTCGTCCTGAAGGGTTCTCGGCGGCGAGCGAGGAGGAAGAGGAGGAGGAGCGAGGAGGAGGAGGAGGAGGAGGAGGAGGAGGAGGAGGAGGAGGAGGAGGAGGAGGGAGGAGGAAGAGGAGGGGGAGGAGGAGGAGGAGGAGGAGGAGGAGGAGGAGGAGGTGCTCCCTCGAAGGCGCAGGGCCCCGCGGGCGACGGAGCGCGGGCGGCGGATGGCGGCGGCAGCCGAGGGCGGCGGTGG